CCCCGCACTATGATCACAAGCCACTCCTACCCCCACCCCCACCCCCACCCCATGATGGGCCCACCTTGATGGCCGCCAGCAGGGCGGCGCGCTGCGGCGGGGTGGCCACCTCCAGGGCGCGCTGCACCACATAGTTGCCGTACTGGTCGCGCATGAGGGCGGTGAGGGCGGCGGGGCGGGCCCCAGACTCGCGGATCATTTGGCTGGGACAAGGGGAGGAGGCAGGCAGGCACGGGGGTGAAGGAGACGGGTGGCGTTTTGGGGGAGGGACAGCGGAGGAGTAAGGGGAGCCGGGGAGAGGCCCGAGGGCGTGCACGGGCGGCGGCTGGCACGCATGCCCTCGTGCCCCGCCTCGCTCCCAACGGCACCTGCCCCCCGAGCGGCCAGGCCTGCGGCTTTCCAATCAGGGGCATGCCGCGCCCTGGCCCCCGCCGCCGCTCATGGCCCTCGCTCAGGCCAGCCACTGGCCGGCCCGCCAGCCCGCCAAGCCAGCCAGGCAGCCCAGCCCAGCCCAGCCCAGCCCGGCCAGGCCCCCCGCTCACTCACTCGACGATGGCGTCCCTGTGCGCCTGCCCGCTGTGCTTCAGGCACGCCTCCACCACGTTGCTGGCGTACTTGTGCTGCGCCAGGGTCATCACCTGGGGGGCCACCTTGGCCACAATCGACTCCCTGCGGGGGGCGGGAGCGGGGCGCCAGGCGAGCATGCATGCGTTGACGTGCGTGGTGGGGGGGGGGGGGGGGGGGCAGGGCCCAGGAGCACGCGATGGCGCTTGTGGCGGGGCTGGGAAAAGGTACGGGGTGGGTACTTGATTCGCACATGGGGGCCGACGTGGCGCAGCAGCGGGGAGGCAGGCAGGCGGCAAGGAGCGGCTGCCGGGCCTCCAGGCAGCTCCCAGTGCTGCAAGGAGCGGCTGCCAGGCGCCTGCCCCGCGTGCATCCCCAGCCCACCTGGCGGGCCCTGGCCCCTTGGCCACCAGGTGCTGCACCACATAGTTGCCGTACTGGTCGTGGCTCAGCTGCAGCGTGCTGTCCAGGACGTCTGCGGGGCGGGGAGGGAGGCAGGGGGGCGTGGGCAGGCAGCCAAGGGACGCAGGCAGGCAGGCAAGCAGGCAGCACAGGGTGGGAGGGCTGACGCGAAGAAAGGGGCAAGGGGGCGGGTGCCCCTGCTGGCAATCAGGGCGCTCGCGCAACGCGGCTGTGCTGGTCCGCCCAGGCCTCGCCGACTCCAGGCAGCCAGCAACAGCTGGTTCGGCGCTGACTCAGAGCGCGCACACGCAGCACAACAACACGCACACACACGCACGCACGGCCCCACAGCAGGCAGCCCACCCGAGATGACCTTCTCACGCAGCTCGGCGATGGAGCAGAACTCCAGCACACGCTGCAGTACAAAAACAGGCGGGACAGCAGGCAGGGCAGTGGACGGGGTGAGAACCAGGGCTGATGGCAGGAGGGCAAAGCCAAGCTGGGGTTGAGGTGGCGGCAGCACACCGGCGCCGCGGAGGCAGCAGGGCGAGGCAGGCTTGCGGGCCGCCCACCTGCACCAGGCGGCAGCCAAAGGTGTGGGTGGACAGCGCCTGGCCTTTGTTGACGATGATCTGCAGGCGGCGGGGCAAGAGGGGAGGGCAGGCGGGGGGCGGCGCGGGGCGGCGTATGGCAAGGCAGGGCGAGGATCTGAGAGCCGCACAAACGCTCGGCATCGAGGTGGGCACAACAGCGAGGGCTGTGTCCGCTCCCCACGCCCCCGCCACCCCGGCCCAACCCACGGCCGCAGCCGCCATCCCAAACCACAAGAAAGAAAGAACACACATCCCAGCGTGGGAAAAGCACACCAAAGCACAAACCACGGAACAAACGAGGCTCACGCGCGCACACACACACACACACACACACACACACACACATGCAGCAGGCAGGCGGCAGCCCGCCAGCGGCGCTCTTCCGCCCGCACCTCGATCATGTCTCGCGCCGGCCCCGAGGGCTGCACGCACTCGATGCATTTCTGCACCACGTGGTTCCCGTTCTGGTCGCGCACGCACCGCAGCGTGTGCTCCGTCAGCTCCCGGCAGATGGACACGCGCTGCTGCTGCGGCAGCACCTGCGGGCCGGGGGTGGGGGTGGCGGGATGGGGTGCGGCGCGACAGGAAGGGGTGGTGAGAGGGCCGGCAGAATGCAGAACCGGCTGCGCGCGGGTGCCTGAGAGGCTGGCGCGGCAGACCCGGCTAGCCCGGTCGCCGCCTCGACCATGCCAACGAACAAAACCCTAGCCACGCTCCCGGCTGCCCTGGGAGCTGGCCCCTGCTCACCTCGAGCGCCTTCTGCACCACCCGGCACCCGTACATCTGCAGGCTGAGGGGCAGCGCCTTGCCGCGGATCGCCTCCGCCACCGCCGCCTGCACCTCGGCGCCGCCGCGCTCCAGGAAGCGCTGGACCACTGCAGGGGGGCGCAGGCAGGGCGGGTGAGAGGCCAGGAGAGAGGCCAGGTGTTCCAGTGGCGAGGTGTGTGCACGACCGGCAGGGGAGCCCTGGCCCAGCGGGCCGCGAAGGGGCTCCCCGGCTGAAAACAGGGTGTCGGTGGCACCCCCAACACCCGCAGCACAGCGCCCAGAGGTGGCTGCAGGGTCCCTCTCTCCCCCGTCCTTCCCTCCTTCTCCCCCATGCTCACCGTAGTTCCCAAACACGTCCACCATGAGCGGCAGCAGCTTGTGGCGCACCTCGCCAAACAGCGCTGCAGGCGGGCAGGGCAGGCAAGGGCAGGCAGGCGAGGGGCAGGGCAGGCGGGGATGGCGACGAGGAAACTGGAAAGTAGGCAGCACGCAAAGCAGGACAGCCAGCCTGCAGGCTGGGGGCATCCAGCCAGCCACGCCCAACCGCCTCCCCTGCTCGCCACCAAAGCACTCCTCTGCCCACCCCACCCACCAGTCAGCTCCTCGGGCGCCGCCGTCTCCAGCTGCTGCTGCACCAGGCGGGAGCCGTGCTGGTCGCGGCAGAAGGGGTACAGCTGGCCGCGCAGCTCCTGTGGGGAGGCAAAGGGTGTGTGTGCGCACATGCGTGTGTGGGGGGGGCAGGCAGCATGCACAGCATGCACAGTTGTTCGGCTTTGGCAGCAGCTTGCACGGCCACCCCGACTGGACAGCGGCTTGCCGGCCACCCCGCACGCGACCGACACCCAGCCGGTCAGCAGGGCCTGGGGCTGCCACGTCTGCCCGCCACTCCAGCCGCCAGCCGGCCAGCCCACACACCCCCTCACCTGCAGAGTCCACAGCCTGCCGCCTGCGCCGCCGTCCCGCGTTGCCTTGAACTCCTCCAGCAGCTCAGACTGCAGCTCCGCCTTGTCCTCCGCCACCAGCGGCTGCAGCGGGGAAGGGAGGTGTGTGTGTATGTGGGTGGGTGGGTGGGTGTGGGGCGCAAAGTGAGGCGCTCATTCAAGGGGAGAGGGTGCGCAGGTTGGCTGCGGCTCCAGCTCTGCTCGTATCTTGTGGGTGCAAGGAGCAGCAGCGGCCGCCGCCGCCGCCGCAACAGCAGCAGCAGGTTCCTGCTGGAAGGGAGCCTGCGCCCGTGCTGCCAGCCCAGCCCAGCCCACACCCCACACCCCACAGCTCAAAAGAGTGCCAGCCCAGCCCAGCCCAGCCCACAGCACAGCTCACCGCCAGCTCCGGGTCCAGCCTGTGCGCGTCGCCGTTCTCGCTCTTGCTGGCGCTCATGTCCAGGCTGCGGCACGAGTAGGGGCGAGAGGGAGGCAGCCAGGCAGGGCGGTCAAGGTGCGGGCCAGGCCAAGGGTGGGGCACTGCCCGAGGAGCCGAGCGGCCGGCTGGGTGAAGCCGGCACAGGCGGGGCTGCCGGCGTGCGCACCTGAGGCGCGAGGGGCGGCCGCCCGACAGCCGGCCCCGCCCGTCCTGGCGCTCCTGCGGGGGCAGCGGTGGGGGCGCAGGAGACTTATCCGTCACCAGGCGCAGCTTCAGCACAGGCGGGAGGCGGGGCCAGGCGCAGGCGAGGGCGAGGGCGGGGGCCGCACCTGGCTGCTGGTGCGGCGGAAGCTGGGCTGGGACGAGTTGCGGCTCATGCGCTCGGGGCTGCCGGACGGCGACACCATCATGCCAAAGCCCTGCAGGCAGCCGGGTGAAAACACATTCTTGAGGCAACAAGCCCAGGGCGACACGCGAGTCGACGGAATGCTGCGGTACAGCGGCACAGTACCTGCATGTACGACATCATGGCCTGGTACTGCCGCGCATACTCGGCAGCTTCGTACGCCTGCGCCGCCGCCTTGCCGCCGCCGGGGCCGCCGCCCATGCCTGCTAGCAGGCGAAGAAGAGGGAGGGCAGCCCAGGCCGTCAGGGCAGACGGGGTCCAAGGCAGGGCAGGGGTCTCGCCAGGCATGTCAACACCAAAGCAGCAGGCGCAAGCAAGCCTGGCTGGGGGAGGACAGGTGTGATGCGCGGCAACCGGCGCGGCGCGGCGGGAGGGCTCACCCTGGGGGGGCGGCGGGCCGTAGACGCCATAGGGCGCGGCGGGCTGGTGGGGGTAGGGCCCCGGCACCATTCCGTAGTAAGGGTGGGGCATCACGTAGGCGGGGTGACCCTGCTGCTGCTGGTGGGGTGCGCTCATGTGCTGCGGCGGCGCCAGGTGGGGGGCATGCGCGTGCGAGTGGGTGGGAGGGAAGGGCTGGTGGAGGGCGCAGCAGGGGAGAGGCAGCGGAGGCGGGGAGGGTAAGAGGCGGCGGGGGCGCGGACGGGCCTCTGCACCCCCGACGCGGCTGCCTCTGCCTGAGCAGCGAGGAGGCCCAGCCCTGGCACACCTGGGGATAGTAGGCGGGGGCAGGGAAGCCTGCGGTGGCGGGCACCGGGGGCACCCCCGCGGCATGCGGCGGAGGGTGGTACATCGGCACGCCGTACCCGCCCGGCGGCGAGCCGACGAAGAAAGCGGGCTGGTGGGGCGCAGGCATGGCAGGCGGCGCGTAGCCGGCACCGCCGTGGATGCTGGCAGGCGGCGGGACGGCGGGGGTGAAGGGCGCCGCGCCGGCGCCCAGCGGCGTGCCGTGCGCGGGGCCGTAGCCCGCAAAGTGGCCGGCGTGGCGCGGCGCGCCGCCGCTGCGGCCGCTGTGCTGCGCGGGGCGGCCAAAGCCGGCCTGCTCCTGCGCGCGGGCCGGCAGCCAGCAGCGGGCACGCCACGTCAGGAGTGCCAAACAACCCAAGCGGCGGCTACCATGCACACCTGCTCTGCGAGGCGTGCAGCAGCCCGGCAGCCCCGAAGCAGCCTGCCCCAGCCAGCCAGCCAGCCAGCCAGCATTCCAACCAGCCGCAACAGCCGCTGCAGCCAGCCCTCCCAGCCCCGCCCAGGCCCGCTGCCACCACCCCACCCGACAGCCACCCCCCTGCACCCCCCGCGCAGTCTCCCAGCCAGCGCCCGTAGCGGCACGCCACACCCCGAAACGCAGCCGGCCAGGCCAGCCCCCAACACACCCATTCAACCCACCCACCTGCGGGAACTTGGCATACACCTCAACGGGCGCCTGCTGCGGCAGCGCCCCGCTAGGCGGCGCGTGGAAGTTGAGCAGCCCCGGGGCGGGGGGCGACGCCACGCCGCTGATAGACAGGCCTGCAGGGAGGTGCGGGCAGCCGGCGCACGGTGTCAGCCCGCTGGGTGGACCGAAGATTCCCCCGCAGGAGCTGCCCGCGCCGCTGTCCTTCCTGCCACCAGGGTCGCTCTGGAGGCGGCCTGGCGGGCACCGCAGCATGCAGGGCAGCAGCGGCCCGCACAACCGCACCCTAGGGGGGCTCCCCTCTGCTGCCCCCGCACCTTGCAGCGTGGCCTCCAGGCTCAGAGGCACCTCGGCGCCGGCCGAGGGGCCCAGGTTGGAGCGGCCCGGGTGGGGGCGCGGCGTGCTGGCGCCGTGCGGCGAGGCGGAGCGGCTGCCGCCGGCGCTGCCCGCGGCGGCGGCGGCCGCCAGGCTGGCCTGCCGGCTCAGCGCCTGCAGCGCGGCGGCTGTCAGCTCGCCGGGGTGCGCGCCCACGGCGGCGGCGGGCATCTCGTGGGGAGCGGCGTGGTGGGATCCGTCTGACGCGCCGCTGCCGGTGCGCGAGATGTTGTAGGGAGAGCTGTGTGAGCTGCTGCCGCGGGGGAAAGGGGAGGAGGAGGAGGAGTAGGCGGGGGAGGTGCCGGCGCCGGCGGCGCCCAGCGTGGCAGACACGGCCGACAGGTTGACGGTGTTGAGTGCGGGGCCGGAGGGCGGCATCTTGACGGGTGCCGTGGCCTCGGGCTCCCAGCCGCCGGCCGTGGGGCCCGGCTGGCGCGCGCCGCTCATGTGCTGGGGGGCCCGGTGGGGCTGGGGAGGCCGCTCGCGCGCTCGCGGGACCGCGGCGCGCCAGCCTGCAGCAGGCACCAGGGGGCGGCTGGCGGGCGGGTGGAAGGCGGCGCGCGGGTGCCCGGGTGCGGCGGCGCGGCGCCAGCCTACTGCTGCAGGTGCTTGGCAGTAAGCTGCACAAATCATCTGAGCGGGCTGGGGCGGCGATGGGGCAGCGCCCATCCCACATTCCCACCGTCCAAGAAGTAGTTGGGGGCGGCGGGGGCCTCCCTGGGCCGCTGCGGCGCCCCTGCTCACCTCACAGCCCTTCAGGATCTCCCTGGCGCCGACCGGGATCGTCGCACCGGTCTGCGGTTGGGCGGGGCGGCAACCGCACCTCGAATGGCACCAGGAGGAGGCACCCGCGGCTGCCTGCTGCACTCGGCGCCTGCTGGACGCTGCCCAAGTCGTAGACAGGGGCTGCGAGCCGGCTGGAGGGCCGCTAGCAGAGTCCTAGGCCAGGCGATGGCTTCGCCGGGACAACCGCCGCTGGCAACTGTACAAGACAGGCGATGAGCAGCAGGCAATTCACAAAGCACAGGCACTTTGGGTGCAGCAAAGATGAGCGGCGGAGCTCCAAGGAGCGTCACCCAGCTTCTCCAAGCAACCCGCCAGCCTGGCCACGCGTGTACGCAGGATGAGTGCCGCGTGTACAGCAGGATGAGAAGGAACCCCAGATGCCCTTCCCCCAAGTCATGTGCACTGCTGCATGTGACCTGCTGCCAAGCGGCCGGGAATCCCGAGCCGCAGCATGCACATGGCAAGACCTCTACAAGCAGCCAACAGGGTGGTGCAGAGCATGCTCTCGAATGAGTGAGGCAATGCAGCACCCTGCAGGTGACTGAACAACAGCTGCAGGCTGCCGCAAGGCCACTCGCCTCCAGGCGGTCAACGGGCACCGCTGCCGGAGTGTGTCGCTACTACCAAGCAGTAGGCAGTATTTCGAGTATTCGCACGGGAAGGAGGCAGGGGTGAACCTGAGGAAGTTCTCAGCCCCATCCTGAACCCCATGCTGCTTCTGCGGGGGCGTCATTGGCAAGTGTGCAGCGGAGGCTGGCGCAGCGGCAGTCGTGTACAGTGTGTGGCACAGCACCCGACTCACAAGCACTCTGGTGAAACATGCGCAAGCTTAAGGCAGCGGCCTCCTCGGTCATATTGTCTCTTCTGCCGGCGGGAGTCCCCGTCGTGACCGCCCGCGGCCCGCCGGCGCCCTGCCGCCCAGCTGGCGCCCTGGGTGCCTGCAAAACAGCGCCGACAAGATGCCTGCCTGCATTGCGCCTGCACTCTGCTGCGTGCCCCCGCACTGTACTCTGCCCTGCAGGCAAAGCAGGCTCCCCGCCGCTTTTTGCGCCCTCAGCCTGCGCGCTGCAAGCCGCTGTGCAGCCCCTGCGCGTGCGCCACCGCCTTTGATCAATACCAGGCAGCGAGTGGCACATCGGTTGCCCGCCGGGCTGCGGCAGCACCAGAGCATGGGCGGCCTCTCAGAAGTCTCCCTTGACGACGGCCTGGCTGGCGTGGAGCACGCCCTCGGGGGCCTAGACAGCGCATATGTGCTCTTCAAGGGTCAGGGAGCATGCCGCTGGGCGGTCAATGCCGCGCCGACCGCCAGCCGCCGCCTTGCTCACTGCCCGCGCTCCTGCGTGCGGCACGCTGCCTCTGATATCCCCCGACCCCTTGTCTCTCCACCCAGCCCTCTGCTGTGTCCCGCACTGCAGCCGACTGGTGTGGCGACTGCCGGCGGAGCCTTGGCGCTGTGAAGGAGGTGGTGGCGGCCGCGGGCGGCACCCTGCTGGTGGTGGACGTTGCCAAGCAGTCGCCCAGTGCGTGCCGCAGCGGCCTGCCGCTGCCCCTTCCCTTGTGCACAGCGCTGCCTGGCTCGCGCGCAGGCCTGCCTCGCCATTGACGCTGCTGTCGCCGCTCCCTTTTCACCGCTGCACCCCTGCACCTGCCCATTCCTGTCGGCGACGTTGGTTGCCCGCCTTTGGCTCTGCCGCCGCAGGCTGGAAGACGTCGGACCACCCGCTGCGGAAAGACCCCCGCTTCCAGCTGGCAGGGGTGCCCACGCTGGTGCTGTGGAAGGGTGGCGTGGTGGCAGCCAAGCTGAGTGAGTGAGTTGTGTCTCTCGAGTCGGAGCGCCCTGCTGCGCATTGCTTGCTTGGCCATGCACGAAAGGGGGCGCAGCAGGGTATTCGGCTGCACACAACCGCCGCCGCTGCCGCCGCTGCTCCCCTGCTGCAGCTTCCGAGCTGGAGGACGCGCCCACCACAGAAGCGGCGGGGCAGGCGGCTGCTGCCTTCATCAAGGGCCACCCCGCCTAGGGCTCCGGAAGCCCCTGGTCCACCCCCAAGCCACGTTTTGTTTGTGTGCCGCCGCGCCTCAATTTTCCCTTCTTTTTTTTTTTCAAATGGTTTGTCCGTATCCCCTTGATGCTGCCTTGTGGTGTGACATGCCTAGGACCAGACGCAGAGCAGAGAGAACAGCAGAGGCGCTGACCGCCGTGCATCTGCTCACTCCAGTAGCCCCGCCGCCTGGGCTCCCGCCACCAGGCTGCGCAGCGCCCGCACAGGGGTCAGCATCAAGTGCTCCAGCGGCAGATTGGTGAGGGGGGAGCAGGGCGCCTGCCCAGCAGCCTTCTGACGCGCAATCCAGGCTGCAAAGGGCATAGTGGAGAGGCTTCAGCCAACCGGCGCCAGGACGGCAAGCCAGCCACCGACCAAGCAGCCAGACTGCCCGGCACCCACCCTTGATGGCGGCTCGCTCGTACAGGTTGCCATCCGCCGCCACCACGGGGTTATGAATCGGCTCCTGGGTGATGGGGCACAGCAGCTCGCTGAGCAGGCCAGGGGGCAGGCTGGTGGTGGTGGCGGCAGCAGGATGAGGGGCCGGGAAACTGTCTGGCGCTGGTGAGTCTTCTGCGGCTGTGCTCGTGGCTGGCAGCGAGCCGGCAGGAGCAGCCGCAGAGGGCCCCTCCCCTGCTGTCTGCACCCCCAGCTGCTGCAGCAGTAGCGCCAGCTCGGCGCTGTCATCGGCACCGCTGCCGCCTCCAGCTGCTGCCGCTGCTTCTTGTTCTGGTGTCCCGTCTGCTGAAGCAGTGGCAGCACCAGCGCTTCCACCTGCTGCCTGCGCGTGTGGTTGCGCTGCCGCCGTCTGCGCTCCTCCCTTGTTCTTCTTCCTCTTGCTGCTGCCCTGCCGGCTGCCAGTAGCAGCAGCAGGCGTGGCGGGCGTAGCTGGGCGGGTGGCTGAGGTGAAATGCTCTGCCTGCTCGAAACCTACCGATGCCGGCGTAGATGTGCCTGCAGCTGCCATTGATGCATCTTCTGCCTGCTGTAAAGCCGGCGCTCGCACTGCTGCCTGGCCTGCGGCACTCTCGCCCGCCTCTCCGGCCGGCACAGCAGCCCGCTGGCGCTGCCGCTCTTTCTGTCGCTGCCGCTTGGAGGCCTTGGCCGCCTGCCTGGCCGCCTGCTGCTTCTGGAGCTCCTCCTCTGCCAGCAGCTGGGCAGCAGCAGCCTCGGCTGCAGCCTCGGCAGCAGCTGTGGAGGCTGGAGCAGTCCCCGGGGCTTCAGCGTGCTCGCGGCGTGAATGCCTGCTGCTGGGCACACCCGACTGACGCCTTCCCGCCTGCTGCTGCTCCAGCTTCAGCAGCACCTTCGCTGCTCCCAGCTGGTTCTGCTTGATTGCACGCATGCGAGGGGTGAGGCCCTGATGATCCTGCAGCACCATGCTCGCCCCGGCCGCAACCAGGCAGCGAATTGCTGGCAGGCAGCCGAACTCTGCTGCCCAGTGCAGGGCTGTCACTTGGAGGCTGTCGGCTGCCTCAAGATTGGCATGGGCAGCAATCAGCAGGCTGAGGCATGCTGTGTGCCCGGCGGCGGCTGCAAAATGCAGGGGTGTGGTGCCGTCATCGAGAACGGGCTCCACGTTTGCCCCCGCTGCCAGCAATGCCTGCACACATGCCTCGTGGCCCTTCCAAGCTGCCAGGTGCAGCGCTGTCTGCCCTTGTTGGTCCGTTGCATCAATGCTGGCCCCAGCCGCCAGCAACAGTTGCAGGCATGATGCATGCCCCTGCTGGGCTGCCCACATCAATGCCGTTGCCCCACCATCATCCACAACGTTGCAATCGGCTCCAGCGTCCAGCAGCTGCTGCAAGCAGCCCAGGTGGCCTCCCAGGGCGGCAACGTGCAGCGGACGCCTCCCAACCACGGCAGCCGCTTCAACGTTTGCCCCCGCCGCCAGCAGCTCCCGCACGCAGGCCTCGTGCCCCAAACCCGCCGCCAGGCAAAGAGCTGTCATGCCCCCATCAGTGCTGGTCGCCTTGGTGCAGGCACCAGCCGCCAGCAAAATGCGCAGGCACTCTGTGCTGCCCATGAATGCTGCCCTTTGCAGCAGCGTACGGCTGTCGCGGTCCCTGTCGGTGAGTAGGCTGGGCTGCTGGCTGAGTGCTGCCTGCAGCCGTTGCACATTGTTGCACTGCACTGCTGAACCCGCTTCCTCCAGCAAGCTCATCTGCAGGAAGAGGCAGCCGTGTGGTGTGAGCGGCGCCGTCCAAGAGCGGCGGCTGAGGAGCGGGTCGCCTGCCCAGCGTGACGGCACCAGACAGCTTGCCTCGTGCGTGCTTCAGGGCAGCGCCAGGTGCCTGTTGACACCGCAGCAGCACGATGGAGCAGCAGACAGCAGCAAAGGAGCTGTGGCAGCCACGAGAACCTAGGTCAAGCTGGAGCCTCTGCCTGGCTGTCCAAGGCTGCGAGAGGTACAGGCAAAGCAGAAGGGCCGCTGAGCCCCTGGGCTGAGCTTTCCACCGCCACGTCGCAGCTGCCGCTTTGTGTGCTGAGGGATCTGTGGAGCTTCCAGTCTGTGGAGCAACAGAGCAACGAATTTGGAGTTGCAAAAGCCTTCTGGTGGTTGGGCTGGTGGCTTCAGCCGGCACTGGTAGGGCCTGCCTCACACTTGGCTAGCTGCCTGCCTTGCTTGAGCTTCCGCGGTTGGGCAAACGCCGCACCTGCGCTGTGCTGTGCTGCGCTCGTCTTCCCCCCGTCTCCCGCCCCCTCATCCGCTCGCTGCCGCTCACGGCGGCGCGCCCTGCGCCCTGCGCCCTGCGCTCTCAGGCTGTGTCCAGGTAGTGGCAGGACGACAGCCTCACGCCCCGGCCGCATAGCAGCGCCCGCAGGCTCTCCACCCGCACCAGCCGGCACTTGCCTGCAGGGGGCAGGGAGGGGCGGCAGGAAGGGCGCAGCACAGGCTGTGCGTGCGGTGCGGGTGTGTTGGGGTGCCGCAAGCAGCCCCGCACGCGCTTGGCGTTGGGCGCAGGCAGCGGAGCAGGTCGCACAGCAGGTGGGCGGGTGCACAGCGCAGCGGGCGCCTCCTACCGATGTTAATGTGCGCCATGCCTGGGCAGGCCTCCACCAGCGTGCGGATGCCGCGGTGCATAACCTGCACAGGCGCCCAGGCAAAGGGCAGGTGGGAAAGCCCTTGGTCCGCCCCAATGCCACGTTTAAACAAAACTTTGTTTGTGCTCTGCCGTTGCCCCTCAGTTTCCCTTCTTTTCTTGCTTTTCAAATGGTTCGTCTGTATCCCCTTGATGCTGCCTTGCAGTGTGACATGCCTAGGTCCAGACGCAGAGCAGAGAAAACAGCAGAGGCGCTGGCCGCCATGCATCTGCTCACTCCAGCAGCCCCGCCGCCTGGGCTCCCGCCACCAGGCTGCGCAGCGCCCGCACAGGGGTCAGCATCAAGTGCTCCAGCGGCAGATTGGTGAGGGGGGAGCAGGGCGCCTGCCCAGCAGCCTTCTGACGCGCAATCCAGGCTGCAAAGGGCATAGTGGAGAGGCTTCAGCCAACCGGCGCCAGGACGGCAAGCCAGCCACCGACCAAGCAGCCAGACTGCCCGGCACCCACCCTTGATGGCGGCTCGCTCGTACAGGTTGCCATCCGCCGCCACCACGGGGTCTTGCAGCGGCTCCTGGGTGATGGGGCACAGCAGCTCGCTGAGCAGGCCAGGGGGCAGGCTGGTGGTGGTGGCGGCAGCAGGATGAGGGGCCGGGAAACTGTCTGGCGCTGGTGAGTCTTCTGCGGCTGTGCTCGTGGCTGGCAGCGAGCCGGCAGGAGCAGCCGCAGAGGGCCCCTCCCCTGCTGTCTGCACCCCCAGCTGCTGCAGCAGTAGCGCCAGCTCGGCGCTGTCATCGGCACCGCGGCTGCCTCCAGCCGCTGCCGCTGCTCCTTGTTCTGGTGTCCCGTCTGCTGAAGCAGTGGCAGCACCAGCGCTTCCACCTGCTGCCTGCGCGTGTGGTTGCGCTGCCGCCGTCTGCGCTCCTCCCTTGTTCTTCTTCCTCTTGCTGCTGCCCTGCCGGCTGCCAGTAGCAGCAGCAGGCGTGGCGGGCGTAGCTGGGCGGGTGGCTGAGGTGAAATGCTCTGCCTGCTCGAAACCTACCGATGCCGGCGTAGATGTGCCTGCAGCTGCCATTGATGCATCTTCTGCCTGCTGTAAAGCCGGCGCTCGCACTGCTGCCTGGCCTGCGGCACTCTCGCCCGCCTCTCCGGCCGGCACAGCAGCCCGCTGTCGCTGCCGCTCCTTCTGTCGCTGCCTCTTGGCGGCCTTGGCGGCCTGCCTGCCCGCCTGCTGCTCCTGGAGCTCCTCCTCTGCCAGCAGCTTGGCGGCGGCAGCGTCAGCTGCAGCCTCGGCAGCAGCCAGGGAGGCTAAAGCAGTCCCCTGGGCTTCCTCCTGCTCCTGGTGTGGGGCCCTGCTGCTGGGCGCACCCGACTGACGCCTTCCCGCATGCTGCTGCTCCAGCTTCAGCAGCACCTTCGCTGCTCCCAGCTGGTTCTGCTTGATTGCACGCATGCGAGGGGTGAGGCCCTGATGATCCTGCAGCACCATGCTCGCCCCGGCCGCAACCAGGCAGCGAATTGCTGGCAGGCAGCCGAATTCTGCTGCCCAGTGCAGGGCTGTCTGAATGTTTGCCCCCGCTGCCAGCAATGCCTGCACACATGCCTCGTGTCCCTTCGAAGCTGCCAGCAGCAGCGCTGTCTGCCCATGCCGGTCTGCGGCATCAACGTTTGCCCCCGCTGCCAGCAATGCCTGCACACATGCCTCATGGCCCTGCCAAGCTGCCAGCAGCAGCGCTGTCCACCCATCATTGCAAGCTGCCTCAACGGTTGCCCCCGCTGCCAGCAATGCCTGCACACATGCCTCATGGCCCTTCCAAGCTGCCGGCAGCAGCGCTGTCTGCCCATGCTGGTCTGCTGCCTCAATGTTCGCCCCCGCTGCCAGCAACAGCTGCAGGCATGGTGCATGCCCCTGCCTGGCTGCCATCATTAATGGCGTTGTCCTACCATCATCCACAACGTTGCAATCGGCTCCAGCGTCCAGCAGCTGCTGCAAGCAGCCCAGGTGGCCTCCCAGGGCGGCAACGTGCAGCGGCCGCCTCCCAGCCGCGGCAGCCGCTTCAACGTTTGCCCCCGCCGCCAGCAGCTCCCGCACGCAGGCCTCATGCCCCAAACCCGCCGCCAGGCAAAGAGCTGTCATGCCCCCATCAGTGCTGGTCGCCTTGGTGCAGGCACCAGCCGCCAGCAAAATGCGCAGGCACTCTGTGCTGCCCATGAAGGCTGCCCTGTGCAGCAGCGTGTAGCCGTCGCTGTCCCTATCAGTGAGCAGGCTGGGCTCCTGGCTGAGGGCTGCCTGCAGCCGGTGCAGCTTGTTGCGAACAACTGCTGAAGCCGCTTCCTCCAGCAAGCTCATCTGCAGGAAGAGGCAACCGCGGTGAGCGTCGCCGTCCAAGAGCGGCGGCTGAGGAGCGGGTCGCCTGCCCACCGCAGCGGCATCAGCCAGCTTGCCTCGTGCGTGCTTCAGGGCAGCGCCAGGTGCCTGCTGGGGACCGAGACAGCAGCCAGCAGGACAGAGCAGAGGATCTGGCGCAGTCACGAGAACCTAGGTGCGGCTGGAGCCTCTGCCTGGCTCGTCCAAGGCTGCAGGAGCGCAGAGGTGAAGTAGAAGAGCCACTGTGCTGCGACAGGGAGCATTCCCTGCCCATGAGCTTTCCACCGCCACGTCGCAGCTGCCGCTTTGCGCGCTGAGGGATCTGTGGAGCTTCCAGTCTGTGGAGCAACAGAGCAACGATTTGGAGTTGCAAAGCCTTCTGTGGTTGCGCTGTGGCTGCGGCCGGCACTGGTAGGGCCTGCCTCACACTTGGCTAGCTGCCTGCCTCGCTTGAGCTTCCGCGGCTGGGCAAACACCGCAGCTGTGCTGTGCTGTGCTGCGCTCGTCTTCCCCCCGTCTCCCGCCCCCTCATCCGCTCGCTGCCGCTCACGGCGGCGCGCCCTGCGCCCTGCGCCCTCAGGCTGTGTCCAGGTAGTGGCAGGACGACAGCCTCACGCCCCGGCCGCACAGCAGCGCCCGCAGGCTCTCCACCCGCACCAGCCGGCACTTGCCTGCAGGGGGCAGGGAGGGGCGGCAGGAAGGGCGCAGCACAGGCTGTGCGTGCGGTGCGGGTGTGTTGGGGTGCCGCAAGCAGCCACGCACGCGCTTGGCGTTGGGCACAGGCAGCGGAGCAGGTCGCACAGCAGGTGGGCGGGCGCACAGCGCAGCGGGCGCCTCCTACCGATGTTAATGTGCGCCATGCCTGGGCAGGCCTCCACCAGCGTGCGGATGCCGCGGTGCATAACCTGCACAGGCGCCCAGGCAAAGGGCAGGTGGGAAAGCCCTTGGTCCGCCCCAATGCCACGTTTAAACAAAACTTTGTTTGTGCTCTGCCGTTGCCCCTCAGTTTCCCTTCTTTTCTTGCTTTTCAAATGGTTCGTCTGTATCCCCTTGATGCTGCCTTGCAGTGTGACATGCCTAGGTCCAGACGCAGAGCAGAGAAAACAGCAGAGGCGCTGGCCGCCATGCATCTGCTCACTCCAGCAGCCCCGCCGCCTGGGCTCCCGCCACCAGGCTGCGCAGCGCCCGCACAGGGGTCAGCATCAAGTGCTCCAGCGGCAGATTGGTGAGGGGGGAGCAGGGCGCCTGCCCAGCAGCCTTCTGACGCGCAATCCAGGCTGCAAAGGGCATAGTGGAGAGGCTTCAGCCAACCGGCGCCAGGACGGCAAGCCAGCCACCGACCAAGCAGCCAGACTGCCCGGCACCCACCCTTGATGGCGGCTCGCTCGTACAGGTTGCCATCTGCCGCCACCACGGGGTTATGAATCGGCTCCTGGGTGATGGGGCACAGCAGCTCGCTGAGCAGGCTGGCGGGCAGGCTGGTGGTGGTGGCGGCGGCAGCAGGATGAGGGGCCGGGTCTGGCGCTGGTGCCTCTTCGGCTGCTGTTCTCGAAGCTGGCAGCGAGCCGGCAGGAGCAGCCGCAGAGGGCCCCTCCCCTGCTGTCTGCACCCCCAGCTGCTGCAGCAATAGCGCCAGCTCGGCGCTGTCATCGGCACCGCTGCCGCCTCCAGCTGCTGCCGCTGCTTCTTGTTCTGGTGTCCCGTCTGCTGAAGCAGTGGCAGCACCAGCGCTGCCAGCTGCTGCCTGCACGTATGGTTGCGCTGCCGCTGTCTGCGCTCCTCCCTTGTTCTTCTTCTTCTTGCCGCTGCCCTGCCGGCTGCCAGTAGCAGCAGCAGGCGTGGCGGGCGTAGCTGGGCGGGCGGCTGAGGTGAAATGCTCTGCCTGCTCGAAACCTACCGATGCCGGCGTGGATGTGGCTGCAGCTGCCATTGATGCATCTTCTGCCTGCTCAGAAGCCGGCGCTGGCACCGCAGCCTGGCCTGCGGCACTCTCGCCCGCCTCGTCAGCCGGCACAGCAGCCCGCTGTCGCTGCCGCTCCTTCTGTCGCTGCCTCTTGGCGGCCTTGGCGGCCTGCCTGCCCGCCTGCTGCTCCTGGAGCTCCTCCTCTGCCAGCAGCTGGGCAGCAGCAGCCTCGGCTGCAGCCTCGGCAGCAGCTGTGGAGGCTGGAGCAGTCCCCGGGGCTTCAGCGTGCTCGCGGCGTGAATGCCTGCTGCTGGGCGCACCCGACTGACGCCTTCCCGCATGCTGCTGCTCCAGCTTCAGCAGCACCTTCGCTGCTCCCAGCTGGTTCTGCTTGATTGCACGCATGCGAGGGGTGAGGCCCTGATGATCCTGCAGCACCATGCTCGCCCCGGCCGCAACCAGGCAGCGAATTGCTGGCAGGCAGCCGAATTCTGCTGCCCAGTGCAGGGCTGTCTGAATGTTTGCCCCCGCTGCCAGCAATGCCTGCACACATGCCTCGTGTCCCTTCGAAGCTGCCAGCAGCAGCGCTGTCTGCCCATGCCGGTCTGCGGCATCAACGTTTGCCCCCGCTGCCAGCAATGCCTGCACACATGCCTCATGACCCTGCCAAGCTGCCAGCAGCAGCGCTGTCTGTCCATGCCGGTCTGCTGCCTCAAAGTTGGCGCCAGACTGCAGCAGCTGCAGCAGGCAGCTCAGGTGTCCTTGAATGGTGGCAACGTGCAGCGGCGTCTTCCCGCGGCTGGCAGCCGCTTTTACGTTTGCCCCCGCCGCCAGCAGCTCCCGCACGCAGGCCTCATGGCCCTTAAGCGCCGCCAGGGAAAGAGCTGTGGCGCCCCACTCAGTGTTGGCCGCCTCGGTGCAAGCGCCAGCCGCCAGCAAGACTCGCAGGCAAGCTGCACTGCCCAGGATTGTTGCCCTGTGCAGCAGCGTGTCGCCGCGACTGTCCCTCTCGGTGAGTAGGCCCGGCTGCTGACTGAGTGCTGCCCCCAGCCATTGCACGTCGCTGCGATCCACTGCTGAAGCCGCTTCCTCCAGCGAGCTCATCTGCAGGAAGAGGGGCAGCCGTGGTTGTGAGCGGCGCCGTCCAAGAGCGGCGGCTGAGGAGCGGGTCGCCTGCCCACCGCGACGGCATCAGCCAGCTTGCCTCGTGCGTGCTTCAGGCAAGTGCCAGGTGCCTGTTGACACCGCAGCAGCACGATGGAGCAGCAGACAGCAGCAAAGGAGCTGTGGCAGCCACGAGAACCTAGGTCAAGCTGGAGCCTCTGCCTGGCTGTCCAAGGCTGCGAGAGTTACAGGCAAAGCAGAAGGGCCGCTGAGCCCCTGGGCTGAGCTTTCCACCGCCACGTCGCCGCTGGCGCTTTGTGCGCTGAGGGATCTGTGGAGCTTACAGAGTCTGGATGCAACAGAGCAACGATTTTGGAGTTGCAAAAGCCTTCTGGTGGTTGGGCTGTGGCTGCGCCAGGCGTTGGTAGGGCCTGCCTCACACTTGGCTAGCTGCCGGCCTCACTTGAGCTTCCGCGGCTGGGGAAGCGCCGCTGCGCTGTGCTGTGCTACGCTCGTCTTCCCCCCGTCTCCCGCCCTCTCATCCGCTCGCTGCCGCTCACGGCGGCGCTCCCTGCGCCCTGCTCCCTGCGCCCTGCGCCCTCAGGCTGTGTCCAGGTAGTGGCAGGACGACAGCCTCACGCCCCGGCCGCACAGCAGCGCCCGCAGGCTCTCCACCCGCACCAGCCGGCACTTGCCTGCAGGGGGCAGGGAGGGGCGGCGGGAAGGGCGCAGCACAGGCTGTGCGAGCGGTGCGCGTGTGTTGGGGTGCCGCAAGCAGCCATGCAGGCGCTTGGCGTTGGGTGCAGGCAGCGGAGCAGGCCGCACAGCAGCTGGGCGGGCGCACAGCGCAGCGGGCCTCTCCTACCGATGTTAATGTGAGTCATGCCAGGGCAGGCCTCCACCAGCGTGCGGATGCCGCGGTGCGTCACCTGCGCAGGCGCCCAGGCAAGTTAGGCAAGGGGCAGGTGGGGGAGGCAGGGAAGAGGAGCGCCCGCACAAACTCCCACTGCGGCGGGGCGGCGCAGCTGTGCCACACCCGAAGCCGGGAGCGGGCTTGCCTGCGGGACATGGTACAGCTCTATCTCCTGCAGCAAGCTGCGGTACCGTGTGCCGTCGTGCAGAGCGCCGCCTGCCGCTGCCGCGCTGCTTTCGCTGCCGGTGGGCGCCCCGGCCGCGCCCCAAGCTGCGCAGTCTTCGGCCGCGCCGCTGCTGGCGCTCCGGTGCGCGGCCCGGCTGGCGGCGCCGCCGGCGCCGGCGCTCCACAGCGGGCCAGTGCTGCTGCGGTACAGGCTGGCACAGGGTCGATGCCCGCCGTCGGTCCCAGCGCCGCTGTGCGCGCCGGGGGCGCAGCCGGCGGCCGCCAGCAGCAGCAAGCCGGCATCCGTGATGCGCACGCAGAAGGAGAGGTGGAGGGATCGGAGGAACCGGAGGCGGGCCACCTCCCCCAGCCCCGCGTCTGCGGCAGAGGCAGGAGGGCAGGGCGGAGCGGGGAAGAGCTGAGCCAGCCATGCAAGGCGGGCGAGCGAGGGCTGTGGTGCAGACTGTAAGGACATAGGGCAAGGCGAGGGCAGCCGCGGCGGGGCGCGGCTTGCCTGACAGGGTGCTGCAGTGCCGCAGGTCCAGCGACGTGAGGTGCCTGAGCGGAAGGGGCGAGGGGTGCACGCCAGAGGCACGCCGAGGTGTCTCAGGGAATTGTGCGTGCTCACAACGCAGCACGGCGCAGCACACGCAACCACAGAGGGGCGTAGCGCGGCGCAGCGCAGGGGTGCAACACACACGCAGCACAGCGCAGCACCGTGCAGCGCAGCGCAGCGCAGCGCAGGCGCAGCGCACCGGCAGCTGGCCGCCACGCGAGCCACCGTGGCGTCTGCGTTGTACAGCAGGCCCCGCAGCGACAGGCACCGCAGCTGCCCGCAGCGCTGCAGCAGCTCGCACACCGCGCCGTCTGCAGAGGGGTGGGTGGTTGTGAGGCAGGTGGGCTCAATTCACGTGTGTGGCAGGGCCAGCCCACGCGAGGCCAGCCGCCCGCCTGGCCGCGAGGGCGCTGCTCACCCGTGGCGGCGGTGTGGTTGATGGTGAGGCTGGTGAGCTGGCGGTGGAAGCCGACCGGCAGCTGTGGTACCGCCACTTCTGAGCAGCCCCCGTCGGCTCCCGGCAGCAGCGCAACGGCCGCGGCGGCCGCCACGGCAGCCGGGCGGTGCGCCAGATGCAGCAGGCCGGCGTCTGTCACCCGCCGCGAGCCTGCAGACAGGTTCAAGCGGCGGGACACCGCCGACAGTCGAAAGGGGTGCTGCTCGGCGGTGCTGCTTGCCGACGCCGGGCTGGCCTCGCCAGTGCTGCTGCCACCCAGGTGGTGTGCACGCCTGGCGCCCACCACAGCCACGGCCGGTTTGCTGGCTCCAGCCGGCTGCACCCGCAGGGGCCTCCTTCCTTCTGATGCTGTACCGCCCATCGTCCGCCCGCAGGGCCTCCTACTTCTCAAACAAATGCTGTGCCCTGGCCCACCCACCTGTGACCGCCAGGTGGTGCAGCGCTGTGCAGTGCTGTGCCACGTGCAGCAGCGCCGCGTCGGTAACGCCGCGGGGCTGGCGCTGGTAGGCGCCCGGTAGGAAGGCGAGGTGGGCGAGGGAGGAGATGTAGTTGGAGAGGCACAGGGTGCGCAGGCAGGGCAGGCCCCGCGCCAGCGCCGCCACCCCCGCATCCCCCACCGCGGTGTGCTCCAGCACCAGCTCCTGCCGGCGGCGGTGGAGGGGGCAGGGATGGGGGAGCATACAAGGGAGCAGGGGGGTGAGGGTCGGTAGTACACGATGGGAGGCAGGGGCGCGCGGGCTTGGGAGGAAGAGCGGACGGGGTGTGGGTTTGAGGGCAGCAGGATCTCAGCGGCCTGGCACTTGTTGGCGTTGGCGGGGCAGACCCATCTAACCCCTTCTGACACACACCACACACCACACCACCACACCACGCTGCTCCCCCGTGCGCCGCAACACCCGCCACCCCAGCCAGCTCGCCTGCAGCAGCTTGCAGCGGGAGGCCACCGCGCGGGCTCCCACGTCGGAGACGGCGGAGCAGTGGCGCAGGGACAGGCGGCGCAGGCGGGGGCAGCCCTGCGCCAGCACGATGAGGCAGTCGTCATCCACCACCGGCGCCTCCAGGCCTTCCTCCGAAATGCTCACGTCCTGCGGGCAGGCAGGCAGGCAGGCAGGTCGGTGCAGGGTGGGAGGCTGTTGGGTTTGTAGTGGCTGTGTTGTTGTGGCTGGTGTGTATGATGGCTGCTGGGTGGGGCACGGCAACGAGCCGGCCGGCTGCTGGCGCGGCGCCGGGGGCTCAACGCAACGACCGAGCGGGGGCTTGCCTCCAGCAGCGGGCAGTTGGCGGCGATTGTGAACAGCGCTCGGAACCCCAGCTGCAGGGAGGGAGGGAGGGCAGGGAGGGCAGCAAGCGGGGTGCTGGTGTGGTGTGGCAGGAGCGCAGCGCTGGAATGCATCGCACCAGCACACGCAGGCATGTTGCAGCCGGCTGTCGCCACAGAGCTGCTGCTGCAGCGGCAAGTGGCAGTCGCAGGCGGCGGCGGGCACGTGCCTGCTCCCCTTCCTCTCCCATCATCAGCAGCCCGCTGCTGCGCCGCGCCACGGTGCAGTCCAGCGCCCGCAGCTGCGTGCAGTGCTCGCCCACCTGGCGGCAGGGGTGATGTGCGTGTATGCGGGTGTGGTGAGCTGTTGAAGGGACCGTGTGTGTGTGTGTGTGTGTGTGCCCAAAGCAAGCAAGCAAGCCAGTCAACCACCCACCCAGCCAGCCAGCCAGCCAGCCAGGCGCGCACCTCCATCAGCGCCCGGTCGCTCACTCCAGGGCAGTCGTGCAGCAGCAGCGAGGTGAGCTGGCGGCACATCTGCGGCAGGCGCAGGCAGGCAGGGCAGGCCAGCGGGCACTTGCCCTCTACAGCCCCAGCACCGCAGGGGAGGCAGCCGCCTGCGGGCGCCCGGCTGCTGCTGCACGGCCGCGGCCCAGCCAAGGCAGCGCCTGGCTGGCGCAAGGGAGGGAGCGGGCGCCCCGCCAACACACTGAAATGTGCATGCACACGCACACACAGGCACACACAGGCACGCATGCACGCACGCTCACACACCACCCCCTCACACCTGCGCCACCGCAGCCAGCCCCTCGTCGCCGACGCGCGAGCAGCGCAGCAGGCCCAGGCGGCGGAGGCGGCTGCCGCCGTGGGCCAGCGCCCGCAGCCCTGCGTCTGTGATGTCTTCCAGGTAGAAAGAAGAGGCGGGGTTGAACACGCACTCCTCCCCGCCCCGGTGGCCTGGATGGGCAGGCATGGATGGGGCGGGTGGGTGGAAGGGAGCAGGCGCGGGGCGTGGCCGGCAGCGGCCTGGGCGCGCGGCAGAGCGCAGGGACGTGCGGCGGGCGGGCGTCTGTGCCGGGCTGCGGCTGCGCATGCAGCAGGGCCTCGGCCCGGGGCCGCGACCAGCTGGCGGCTGCTGCGGTCATATGCAGGGAAGAGAGGTGCATGTGTGTGTTGTGGGGGAGAGCGCGGAGGGAGAGAGTGCGGCCTCACTCACCCAGCACAAGCTCCTCCAGCAGCGGGCAGCTGCGGGCCAGGATGGCCAGGCAGCTGTCGTTCAGCCGCAGCTGCAGCAAGCGGAGCGGGAAGGAACAGCCCCCCGGATGTCGGCAATGGGGAGGTGGCGGCGCCTGCAGCCATCCCATCCGCAGGCAGCAAGCTGGGCCAGCCCCCTGTCCCTCCATCCGCCCCGGCCCCCTCTGCCACCGCCTACCAGCCGCCCCCGCCCTCTCTGCCGCAGCCTACCAGCCGCCCCCGCCCCTTATGCCGCCGCCTACCAGCCGCCCCCGCCCCCTCTGCCGCCTACCAGCCGGTTCGTGGCGGCGCTGTTGGTGACGTTGACCAGGCGCAGGCTCCGCAGGTCGGGGCAGCTCTGCGGCAGGGAGGGGGCGGGGGCGGGCGCAGGCCGAGGCGGGCCGCAGGCGCATCAGCAGCGCAGAGCTGGGCGAGGGGCCAGTGCAGGGCCAAGGCCTGCAGGCCTGCCGCACAACTCGGCAGCCGCATAACCAGGCAGCCAGCGAGCGTATAGCCTGCAGCTCAAGCAGCACAGCCACCGCCCACGCACTGCACACCCGCACAAGCGCACACACCTGTGCCAGCAGCTTAATGATGTACCCATCCACCGGAGGGCAGCCCACGTCCGTCGCTGCCGCCGCCAGCGCCGCCAGCGGCTGCGGCGCCGCCTGCCACGGCTCGCCGGCCACGGCGCGCGCCACGGCATCGGCGGCCGCCGCCAGCGGGACCTGCGGCGGCGCCAGCTCCAGGTGAAGGCGGTGCAGGGCGCGGCAGTGCTGGCTGCGGGGCGGCAGGAGAGGGGAGGGGCCCGGCGGCGGTGAGGAGGCGAGCAGCGGCATGGATCTGCCTTTGGAGCGGCCAGCAAGCAGAGGAAGATGCAACGCAGCCCGGAAGCGGCCACAGCAGCCGAGCCTCTCCAAGCTGCACCTGGCGTAGTGCACCGCTGCAGGCAGGTAGCCCAGGAGGCGGCGGTGGGAGCGGTCGGATGGTGCGAGGCCGCCGCCGCCGTCCCCACTGATGATGCCCGAGCCGCCGCCCAGCAGCAGGAGGTTGTGCTGGCGGGACAGCAGCGGCAAGTCAGCTGCCGCGTTAATCTCCAGCCTTGTTTCCAGGATCCTCTGCATGCAGCAAAAGGGAGCGTGGCTCAGACAAGCGCCCTTCCAGTGTCACTCGGACAGAGGCAGGCAGCGGGTGAGGTGCGACCAGCAACCCACGCGCCTGCGCGAGCTGCGCCCAGTGCCGGCACACCGCGGCGGCCCTGGCGGTGTCGTGCAGGCCAAGAAGGAAGAAAATCTCTTCTTGCAGGGGCACAGGCAGCGCCTCAATCGCCAAGAACGCCGGGCTGGGCGCCAGAGGCGCAGCCAAGAGCGCCGGCGGAACGGCGCCGGCGGAAGCGCCAGACATGCCGGGCGGCTGCAAGCGCCGCTGCGGGACTGCTGGGAGGCCCCCGAGACTGCTCAATTGCGCTCAGACACAGCAACGCGTCTCGGGCCACACTGGCGCATGCGGGGTGCTCTCCTCTCGCGCTCGCTTGCTTGCAGAGGCAAGGGTCGCTTCTCCACTCGACCGCAGAGCAACCCAGAACAGTTGCGGGTGGAGGGTTTCGCTTACGCAGCCCTAGGGATTGCCGCCAAGGAAGGGACCCGCCAGCGTGGCGGCCTCTGAGCGATCTCTATCTAGGGTTCATGCATGCATTACACAACCACATTGAGTTCCTCAGCCCGCACCTGCTGCCACGCCCGTCTGGTGCCAGTGCCACAGCACCGCCCCCACAAAGGCCCACAGGCCCGCCAGCCCGGTGGTGGCCGCCCAGCCAAGCATGTCGGCCGCCTGCAGCGCGGGCGTGCACAGCCGCGTGTACTGGCTGCGCCGCAGCTCCTCCTCCGCCGCCGCCTCCCTGCCAGCATCCCGCTGCCCCGACACAAACTTGCCCGCCGCCCGCAGCTGCGCCCGCCACACAATCAGCGTGGGCAGCACCAGGCCCAGCGAAGCCTGCAGGAAGGGTGGCAGGGAGAGAGGGTGGCGTGGGGCCGCCGTGGGGGCGGGGCGGGAGACTGGGTTCGGGCCCCGGGAGGGCTGGGCGCTGGTTGAAGCCGCGCCGGCAACGCAAGCCTTGGCAGTGCCTCCTCGCCTCGCCCACACCACACCACACCACTGCCACGCCAGCCAAGGCTCGCCTGCAGCGACCAGACCGTCGCCACACACTTCTGCGCGTCGGAGGAGGCGTCGGCCGCAGCCGCCATGTGGCTCCAGGTGCCCAGGCACAGCATGGAGGTCAGGTGCTGCGCCGCCTCGTAGGCCGCCGCCGAGACACGGGCGTTGCGAGGGTGGCTGCCGACAAACTGGTGGCACACTGCGTGCAGCCGGGCGCACCCAAAGCGGGTCGGCACACTTGGAGGTCGCAGCTTTGTGGGGTCGGCAAGCACAGCGCAATGCGGGCGCAGGCAGCCCGGCCGCGCGGCGTGGGGGAGAGGTGTGCTGGCAAGCCGCGCGGGGCCGGCCGGGCAGGGGGCGCACCCAGCAGGCGGCAGAGCTGCGCTGCTGCAAGCAGGCGCCGCGGGCGGCAGGAGGGCGGCGCCTCACCTGGCGTGGCGCGGCGGCAGAGCAGCAGGGTGGTGACCCCCTGTACCAGCAGGTGTGCCGCCGGCGGCAGCTGCATTCCCAGCGCCGCCACGGCGCTGCCGTGCAGCCAGCCCACGCCCATGACCAGAAGCAGCACCGCGCGCACCAGCCGGGCGGTGGCGCCCAGGGCGGCGGCGGCCCGGCGCGCCACCGCCGCCGCCCGCCGCCGCCTCGGAAACCATCACTCCTTCCGGCTCCATGACCCGCATCACGTCGGCAATCAGCGGCAGCGCCGCGAACTGGGCCAGGCGCAGCAAGACGACCAGGGGCGTCCGCACCGCGAGGTAGCGGCGCCGGGCCAGCGCCGCCGCTGCCCAGGTGCCCACAAACGCCGCCACCAGCACCGCCAGCAGCAGCACCTCGTGCCGCACCAGGGTGCCGCGCGCCAGGGTGGCCAAGTGGACGCACACCACCATGACGGACAGGGCCCTGTCGCTGGCAATGCACTGGCTGGCCAGCGCCTGAGCCAGGCTCTGTGCAGGCGCTGCGGCCCCTGCCGGCGGCGGCGGCGACTCGCCCGCTCCAGCGGCAGCAGGCCCCCCGCTCGCGCCAGCTGGTCCCTTGAAGCCCCCCGACATGCTGGTTGCGGTTCTCAGAGCAACAGACCACAGCCGATCGGCCGTGGGCATGCTTCGCGCAAGGCCTTCCAAGGAAGCGGGAGATTATTGGAGCGGACAATGTGGATGGCGTGGAGGAGGCAATTGTGAGCTGAAACAGGGCACAGGAGCGACGGCCAAGCGAGCGGTCATTTGGGCCGGGGCCATTTTGCAATGCAGGACGCTTCGGATTTGTTTGTGGTTGCAATAACCGTGCTGGGCGGCCGAAACAAGCGTCCGACGCCATACGCATGGCTGCACCCGCGGCTGGCGCCGCCGCCGCCGCCGCCGGCAGTGCGGCGCTGCAGTGGGCGATGTGGCATGCAGCCCGAGGGCTCAGCCTGGAGGGCTCAGCGGCAAGCTGCCAGGCTGGGCATCCCTTGCTGCTGCACAGCTCCGCTCCTGCTTGCTTACCGCGAGGTCGCCCCCGGCGGCTGTGCAAGGTTGTGGCACGCGGGGCGGCGGGAAGCCTCCGGCAGAACTCAGCGGAGGATGGAAGAATGATGATGCATTCCCTGCAACACGTACCAGCTCCTTGATTGGAAGCCATCGACAATGGGGCTCCAGAGGCCAAGGGAGACAGTCGCTTGCCGCCGCCCGCCCCCCAGCTGCGCTGGAGATCCAGGCCAGCAGCCGCAGCATGATGGGCACATTACGCCAACGGATGTCCCGCGATCTCCTGGTGACTCAGTGGTTGCTAGGAGAAAGGTTGCTGACCCCTTGGGCCGCCTGAATCGCTGCACTGAGCGATGACACGCAGCGCCTTGCACACAGCCCAGTTGTGAGCTGCAGAAGCCCCAGGCGCTACACGCCGCACCAATGAGCAAGCTGCAGTTCAGCCGGCCCGCGCGGCGGCAGCCGCTGGTGCGCCGCCGCCGCCGCCGCCCGCCGCCGCCGGCTGTGGGACGCTCTCTCTGTTGCTTTCCAGCTCGCACTCGTGGCCGCACTTTGCTGCCCCTCGTATCGCCTTTGCCGATCAGCACGCTTCCCAGCAGGCTGTTGCACCTGTGCAGAAGCAGCCGCCCTGGCACTGCCGTTTTCGCTGCCGCCGCCGCCGCTACCGCGCTGCCACCTCCCTCCCGCCCCCCTCTGACCTCTGCCCCGCAGGTGATGCTGTCCCTGCTGCTCAACATGCTGCTGTTGGGAGGCAGCATGGTCTGGTGGTCTGGCGGGGGCCTGCTGCTGGGCTCTCCGCAGCAGCAGGGCGGCGGCGGGGGGCAGGTTCGCGGCGCCGCCGGCTTTGAGCGCTGCGAGCGCGGTGAGCTGGATGAGGCGAAGCTGAATGAGTGGGGCTGCAAGATGTTCCACAAGGCCTGCTTCGACCAGGTGTGGCCCGCCGCCGCCGCTACTGCGCTGCAGCGCCCGGCGCCCCCGCTCCGCCCCAGCCCGCCGCCCGCCGCGCTTTCTTCCCGCGCAGGAGAACCTGCTGCTGCACAGCGGGCAGAAGACCCCAGACCATCCCAACTTTACCCACGACGAGCTGTTCAAGACCTACCCCGTCCCCGCCTACGTGCTGCCGGGATACGAGGAGCCGCTGGGTGAGTGAGCCAGGCAGCCGACGTGGGCAGGCGGGGCCGGCTGTGGGGACGGAATGGGACTGGCTGTTGCTGGCTGGTGCTGGCTGGTGCTGGCTGGGGCGCGCTAGGGCGCGCTGGGGCTGGCTGGGGCGGCGGCTGCACCAAGCGCGGCGTGCCTGCGCCGCCCCCGCCTGCCCCCGAGGCCGTCGCTGTGCGGCGAGTGTGCCGAGGCCTGCCTGCTTCAGGCCTCTCGCGCGTGAGCTGCGGCGCCTTGCCTGCGGCGCCTTGCAGGCACGCCGCACTACACGCCTAAGTGCTGGGACATCGACATCCGGGGGCCCACCCCTTACGACCCGCCAGATGTGTGGCAGCCTGCAGGTGCGGCGGGCGGGGGGTGGGCCCGCGCGGGGGCGGGCGCTGCTGCGGCGGCTGCGGCGGTGCCAGGGGCTGGGGCCGCTGCGCCAGAGGCTGGAGGAGGGTGGGAGCCTGGCTGTGCGCTTGGCCGGCAGCAGGATGTCCCGCCCCTGGGGCGCGCTGCCGCTGGGTGTGTGGCGGGCGCCTGGCTCCTCTTAACCCCAACCAACAACCTGCCGGCAGCCTGCCGCCCCGGCCTGCCAGCCTGCCTGCTCTGAGGTGGCACCTGGCCATCCCACCCGCATGCCCCGCCCCGCGCGCTGCTGCCCCTGCTGCCGCCGCAGACTTCACCCGCCCCGCATGCCGTGCGCTGCTGCTGCCCCTGCCGCTGCCCCTGCCGCCGCCGCAGAGTTCACCAACTGCACGGTACCGCTGGTGTGGTGGGTCACCTACTTCTCCGTGTTTGGCGACCTGTACATCGGCGGCGCGCTGGCGCTGGACATGATGCAGCAGCAGGGCGCCTTTGACAGGTGGGCGTGTGCGCGCGGGTGTGTGTGTGGTGGTGGGTAGCGTGTGAGTGTGTGGTGGCTCGACTGGTGGGCGTGGCGTGGGCAGTGGCTGGTGGGTGGGGTGGGAGTGAGTGTGGGTAGTGTGGGTGTGTGTGGGTAGTGGCGAGTGGTAGTGTGTGCCTGTGTGTGTGTGTGTGTGCCTGTGTGTGGTGGGTGGATACGTGTGCCCCAGGCGTGATGGTGGAGTGCGTCCCTTGGTTCGTGCCGGCCCTGCCCTGCACAGCGCATCCGGCTGCATACTTTACCCCCAATCTTCTGTGGGCGTGGCGCCTGGCATGCCTGGGCTCCCTGGCAACCCTCACCACCCCCCCCCCCACACACACACCACACCACCACCACCACCACCACCGCTTGCACACGCCTGCCTGCCCTGCCCTGCCCCGCCCTGCCCTGCCCTGCCCTGCCCTGCCCTTCCTTCCCCCCAGGAACGTCACCCTGGCTCCCTTCTCGATGGGCATGGACCTGCCGCCCTGGTACCAGTCGCTGCTGGACCCCTTCACAGCGCACAAGGTGGGGGGCTGCTGGGGGGCGCCTGGGCTGGGCTGGGCTGGGCTGGCCCGGGCTGGTCTGGTCTGGGCTGGTTCTGGGGCTGGCCTTGGCTCGGAATCTGGACCCAGCCCCCGCCGGGGCAGCCCACACCCTCCTGCCCCCAGCCGCCAGCCATGCGCAGCACCCCACATGCGCCCGCGTCGCAGTGCATGCCCCAGCGCCGGCCGCCACGGTCCCACGCCGGACCCGCCCAAAGCCCCGCCCCCACTCCCACTGGCCCCGCCCCCCGCTGTAGGTCCAGTGCCTGTCCTCCCTCTCCTCCCGCGAGCACATCCGCACCGGCCAGCCGCGCTGCTTCGAGCGCGCTCTGCTGTGCAACCTGGTGCGCGGGTGGTGCGCCGGGCAGACGCGCCTGCCTGCCTGCCTGCCTGGGAGGCCCCGACCGGGATGGGCGTGCCTGCCTGGGTACGGCCCCAGTGTTTTGC